CCCCAAAACCCCAAAACCCCAAAACCCCAAAACCCCACTATTAATAATTCAGTTAAAATAATTAATATTTATTAAACGAACATGAAGTATCCTAAATGCAATATACGTAAAGATTGAGACCTTGTGACTCATCTCATAAAATGCTCCTCTGACAACATATTCGATGAAGACACCTTTGTGTGTGAGAGATGTGCCAGCAATCTTTATATAGACGAAGATACCATAAAGATACCGAATCTTGAAATCATACTAGATTGCCTAAATCTTGCTGAGTACAACTTAACCCAAATTGACTCATTCAAAGAAGCCCATAACCTTGATAAATTATGGAAAAAGTTACTGCCTGAGCTTGAAGCATTGATCATAAGCAATATTGAACTCAAAGATGACTTGGAAATAACAATTACTGAGAATAATTGGAGAAAGATTCCTTCCATTCATATCCAGTCTAAAAATCTATTAAGCTCAGTCTTGAACTCCAAACTTTACAAAGAATATTGCAGACAGTCTAACTACATGAAGTTCTGTGACCAAGAAGCCAAGAAGAAGCCTAAGAGGCTTTCTAAGCTCCAACCAGAAGAGTCTAAGCTCAGTATCGACAAATCTGAGCATGAAAAAGTTCTTAAGGAACTTAAAGAGACAAAGAATCTTTGCTTGCAAAAAGACGAGCTAATCACTCAGAAACAAGATGAAATCCAACAGAAGGACAAGCACATAGAAGAGAAATCTAAGGAGATCATGGACAAATTTACTCAAATCAAAAATTATAGTCACCGGGCAAGTGAAGAAGAGAAAAATATCAAAGTGAAGGAAGAAAAGATCCTTCAACAGAAGGCTCAAATTGACAAACTTCAGAAGGATAAAGAGCAAGCCATTGCCAAAAAGTAAATTTTTAGTCCTCTATTTTTATGAGACCGATTGTCTCCTTAGTGATTTTTATATATAACCCTAATTTTTTAATATGTTAGTTCTTCTATCGTATGAGGCGACATTCTCTAAATTATTATTTTGCAACACACCGTTGGGTCTGAATTAAAAATCATTAAATTGGGTGAAATTAATTAATACTTAAAGTCATCCGGACTGTAAAATTATTCAGGAAATTTCACTCTCAAAAACTTGAGGCTTATCAAAATGTTTTTGTGGTTAATATTGATAAATTCTATAATTTTACCAAAGACTATTAAGTTTATTTATAAATAAAACACGAATTATCACTAAACATGCTTTAAGTAATGATAAATGTAGCGTCAAACAAGCTCAGACTGAGAAAGACCAGGAAATCAAGGACTTTAAACTCAGAGTATCAGAGCTTGAGAAAAAAGAAAAGATACAGCAAAATATTATCAGCCAGCTACAGAAGAAAGCAACTGAGCATCAAGCTCTAATACCTCCAATCTTAAGATCATCTCCATTGGGAAATGCGACTCCCCAAGTAAAGCCATTATCGAATATTATTAAATACAGTCATATGGAACCATAATAAATGATACTCCTTTAACTTTAGCTCCCTATTTTCTGTTGATAACTTTGTACTCAACTTTTTATTCCAGAGAATGTAGTTCACATTTTCTATATATTTTGAAGCCCAATTTGACGGGGAGATATCTAATTGGAAGTTGTTATTTTAAACAACCTTTAGAGTCCTCTACCCAAACTTCTAACATTTTAATTAATTTCAACATTTTAGAAGAGCAAAAATACTAAACACTTTTATTTAGAATAATCAAAAATTGATTCCAACAGCAAAGTCTTTCAAGCCCTCGAAATCTATTTCTTTCAAAGATCATAAATTATGCAGGCCAAAAGGAGAAATGCAAACTAATATAAACCCTTTGGTTATTGGGAGGCCATCCCAAGAGAAAGAGTTAAAACAAACTAATTCGGAGGCTTCTATTCTTATAAATGGCAGTTGAATAAATTCGAACATGGTACTAAAACTTTTTGGAAAGGAATTAGATGTGGGATATAGAAGTAATTAGCAAAACAAAGTCATACAGAGACTCCCAGTTGGCTTGATCCAGATCATAAACTTCTGTATCCTTTGTTCACTTCTCTTTCAGTTCGGTTCAGACACGTCGTTCTCTTATTAAAAGAAATCAGAGAAACTATGGCAATAGACTTGCTGATACAATACCCAAAAATATCCCTGAATCTAAACTAAGTCGATCATCCAGGGCTTTTATACGAACTGCACCTACCCTTCCTCCCCCAGTAACCAGTCCGCCCACATTGGAATCCCCTACTAAAATCCACACCAAAACTCTACTTCAGAAATCCCCATTGCCCATCACATCTTTTCACAAACTTCTCAAGCAATGCTCTGGTCCTGACCAGCGTGCAGACTTCACCAGTGCTATATTAACCCAAGCTATTAACGAAGACTATAAAGAGAGTAGCCATCAAACAGGTAAGCTTTTTGAGAGAGTGAAGGTATATTAATGGTTTAGGCTGAACAATGGCTACATACGCAGACTTGCTTACTAGGCTGAAGAATAAGGAAGACAAGGATCTGAGGAAGCAAGCTCAGAAAAAACTACAAGGAGAGGGGGTTAATAAGAAGATAGGAAGTGGACCTTTTAAGGAAGAAGTTTATAAACAAAGTAAAGCTTTGCTCTTTGAATTAGCAAAAGAACTGGTTGTTGACAAGAAAATGAAAGATAAAAGGAAAGAAATTATTGAAGAATATAAGAGAAAGTTATTTAACTATCTTAAGCTCAAAGGCGAGTTATATATGAATGGCTTCTGTGGAGTCAATATTCAAATCATCATATTACAAACCTTACTCGGCCAAGGAAGCGATGAGTTTGCTGTAAAGGCCACTGGGTTTACTATTGAAGGAGCCTGAATACTCTTACAAGTTATTGGGACTAAATTTCACAAGAGATTCTCACAAATTAGCAAGAATGGAGAAAAAGAGCATGATAAGAAGCAAACCAAAGGAATAAACACAGGCTATAAAGAAATTATAAAAACTCTTAAGAATCTCAAAAACGGCGAGTTTCTAAACACAAGGATAGGAGACTTAATTGAAGAGACGTTGAATCAGAAAAACGAAGAGTTATCAACTAGCAATCAGAAGAAAGAAAGCAAGGCTGATATCGAAGAGAAGAAAGAATCATCTCAAAAATCAGTCAGCAAAGCCTCAAAAGAATGCCCCTCACAATCATTAGCAAAAAAGGAGAAATCTGTTGCGTTTAAATATGAAAATATGGATTCAGCTTTTCTTTTTCTATCTTCTTCAATTGATCAGAGTGAAATTCAACAATTAGAAGCAAACACATCTCTGAATTTATCATATATTTCAGATGGTGAGCTTAACTCCCTGTTTAAGGCAGTCAATGGCAATCTAGCTGAGTGACCAAATGGTAAATATTAATCTAACCAACATGAGGAGCTTCTTAGCAAACTTACTGTCTCTGAAGATGTTAATATGATCAATTTTCCTAATTTCCTTAGCCTCTTATGCATAGTCTTTTTTGAGAGAAGAGTCATCCAAACTCTTTAACCAGAAGGACTCAAAAAATAATTATATAGTGCTTTGTGTACGCATATGAGATTCTCATTCCACCAATAGCTTGTATAGATTAGCATCTTTCATTTAGAAATATTTCTTACAAGAGAGTTTAAAACGTTAAACTTATAGAATAGATATTTGAGGCTACTTTTATGTATTCCCATTTATTGTTTCATTTGCAAAGATAATCTTAACACCTAAAAAGATATAGAAGTTGCTCTAGCGTTCTTTTGGAACACGATTCATGTATCTAACCATGATTTTCCAAGATTTATCGGATTATTTGGTGGGTTGCTATACTCCCTCTTTGTTGACAAAAAGATTGCTGATTTCCACAAATTCATGGCTGGAGTTGATTATAAAGCAGTTCAAGAAGATCAAGGTATTGACTCTTTTGATGTTTACTTTAAAGTCTTTGCTACTTTCCTGTATGTTATCCAGCAAGAACTCGGCGATAAGAAATTGACTCACTGCTATGATGATTTTAAAATAAAAGAGGCTTGTCTTAAACTGAAATCCTTCCCACATAGCAAAGAAATTTTCAAAGAACTGGCTGATGAAGGCATTCCGGAAAAGATCATTACCCTAATTGATGTTAAAAGTTAGTGGAATATAATTATGCCACACCAAAAATGCTCTGAACTTCACGGCTTGTTCTATAATTTAAAAATCAAATTATTGGATTAGTTCTTCAAGGATTATTAGGAGTCTATATTTGAGTTTCACTTGAATTATTTACTCATAGTTTCATCTACTGAACTCATTGTATGCTTTAGGCTTATTAGCTCAAAATATCGGAATCATTGAAGTGCTCCTAAAGCACCAATATTGTGAATGCTTAATGTTTACTAAATTCATGGGATTATTCTTAAGATTTTAGTATAAAAAGTTTTATTTCAAAATCTTTGAAATAAGTCATGTTCAGAATTCCATCTTTTACTTTGGCAGATTAAATCTATTATGTTAAAAATAGGAATAAGCATCTCTCAATCTTAATCCTTTGCCTGGGGTTTTGGGGTTTTGGGGTTTTGGGGTTTTGGGGTTTTGGGGTTTTGGGGTTTTGGGG